TGAGAGGAAGTGTTCTTATTAACCGTGGGGGATTACAAACGTACCCCTTCTCAAGCTACTTCGATGGTTACTCACAACACTTATCGACTCATCCGTCTTAGTAGACATGGGTCCATCCGGGTGACTGCTCGGGGTGCCTCCATAGTTCAATAGAGCTATGACCTAAACAACAGTAGGTGACGGCGCCCAAAATCCTACAGTGGCGTATGGCGTTGGTATGCCTCCCTGCCATCCACTCTGCCGTTACCGGCGCGGACAACGCATGGTCCGAGCGCGCCGGCGGAAGTGTTCAGGTAGGACCGCTCTCAAGGACCAACCCCCCAAAAAATGGACAATGGGTTATCACCGGGGCTTCACTTTCGACCCCAGTCACTTAGGGCTTCGCCACACCGCTCTCGAAATGTGAAAAAGACAAAATTGAGGCGTGTGCATCTGGCCACGATGTAGCGGAAGTTCATTCTCATTTTGCACATTTCGAGAGTCGTGTGGCGATGCCCTTAGCCCTGCCGAGCCACGAGTTGCCTGTTTTTTTTTTTTTCCCTTTTCTTTTTAGTTGCCTGTTTTCGAGTGCTGTGCTCGTCATACACCGGCCTTGATTATCTCTGCCGTAATTGATGCGTTGTGTGCTCGAATCCTGTCGAGCTCGACGCACACTGGCCTTCGTTATCTTTGAAGTGATTGAAGTTTGAATTCTGAGGCAAAGCATTTTGAAGCGATCTGGAAGGAGGCCCTACGCCCGGCGGGGAGCGATGGGAGCAAGCCACATACCGCCGACCGTAGCGCGGGCGCGCGCGCGAAAGCAGAGAAAAAAAAGTGAGAAACGGTTCCTTCCGCGTTCGATTTTGGCGAGCGAGCGATCACAGCGCGCGCGGGCGACGTAGCAACTGTAGTAGCGCGGGGGGGCGAGGCAGCGCGCCAGCGACCGACGACGTGAGAGGAGGAAAAAGAGAGACGGTTCTGCGCGGGCATTTTTTTCGCTTTCGCGAGCGATGAAAGTGTGAGTCTGACGAACTACCCCCTTCCCCCAGAAAAGTTTGAGAAACTCGAACTCCTCTTGTCCGACGTGGCACTCCTGTTTTGCGGGAACTGAAGTTAGGCCACTTTTTTATTTTATTTTATATTTTCTATAATAATTTGCCAATGTGGACGATGTCGCGATTTATGCGTGTCATTCTTCCGCGGGGGCAATGCTAATCTTCTTTCTCTCGACAGTTTCACGATTACACTATCCGTTTCCACTTTTATTTTCGAGCGCGGACAGGAGGAAGCAACTGGAAAGGGCATGTTTGGATGGCGCGCTCACGCCTCAGACTTTGACGGAGGTATGTATGTGACCGTTAGTTCTGGCCGGATTCCCTCGTGGAGCTGCCAGGTATGTACGTGGATTGAGTATATATACACATTCACGTGGGCCGCCATGTACGCGAGAGGTTCTGAACAGGGGGAGTTGTAAGGAAGAAGATAAAAAAAATGAATTGATATCTTTTTTGTTTTTTTCGCTTTTGCGCTCTGACAACTCTGTGATGATATATTATTAAACAATATAATTACGTTATATTAGTATATGTCATTAATATATTATATATTTATATATATGTATATACCCTCGGACCACATATCAATGGTATGAACTGCGAGGTATGTACTGTGATCCAGTATATGAATGGGAGCGCAAAGGCGGAAAAAGACAAAACAAAAAAAGGAGAAGAAGGAAGGAAAGCTCCGCCTGTTCATCACCTCTTACGTACAAGGCCAGCCACGTGGATGACAGGTTGAGCGCTTATCGTCAAACAGAGCTGCCCGGTAAACCGTAGGCAGAGAGGGAGGGAGAAGAGGGCAACAAACGAGGGGCTGTGACAAACTGTTTTGTCGGAGTTTCACCGACTCATCAATATATTCTGTTTGACGATATACATTTTTTCTTACTTTTCTTTCTTTCTTTCTGTTCTCTTTTTTTAGCTTTTGCGCTCTGATATTCTTGGGACAATATATATATCGTCAAACAGAGCTGCCCGGTAAACCGTAGGCAGAGAGGGAGAACAGGACAACAAACGAGGGGCTGTGAGAAACTGTATATATATATCGTGTTTGACGATATATATGTATATTGAGCCTCCTGATGATTCGATGAAACCCCGAGGAAACAGTTTGTCACAGCCCCCGGTTTGTTGTCCTCTTCTCCTTCTCTGCCGACGGTTTACCTGGCAGCTCTGTTTGACGATATGCAGTGTATAGCCTCCGACTTCGACGGAGGTGTGTGTGGCTGTTATTGGCTGAGGAGTCATCGGGACATCGGTTAAAACTTAAAAGTGGAACGATACAGAGAAGTTTAGCATGGACAGGAAAAAAAAAAAAAAAAAAGGTTGACTGTGTATGATGCGGTGAAGGGCAGGCAGATATAAATGATGGAGCAGTGGTTAGGGAAGGAAAGAGCGATTGATGAGCGCGGGCATCTCTGGGGAGTAGCAAAGAGGGGCGGATGTAATGCCCGAATCTGGATGTGTTTATGGACGGGTGCAGAGAATCGTGATTGATCTGCTGTTCTGCATCTATGCATAAAAGACTTCTCGATTCAGACGCTTAATCCCCACCCTTTTCGCTAGTGGGACCTGCCCCTGAATTGGGCAGGTGGTTCTACAGCGAGGGTGGGAAAAAGACAAATGAGTGATGCCCTCGCCACACCACTGTCGAGACGAAGAAAGTACGAATGCATGTCGCCGCAGTGAGCTGCAGGATGCATCCGCTACTACTATGAATAGCAACGGATGCATCTTGCCACTTTCTGAGGGAGATGCACTCCTTTTTTTTTTTTTTTTTCTTCAATGCACTGCAGCTTTTTTCGTTTCCACACTGGTGTGGCGAGGCCCTGAGTATACGCGGGAGGAAAATTTTCATTTGCTGTTAGGAGGAGGCGGACTCCGAGTAGGATGGATTGGGGAATGTGGGAAGAGAAGTCTTTGGGTCTCGCTCCACTACTCACCAGATGCACAAACGACAAAAGAATATGGTGGTGTATGTATGTTCCCATGTTGTAGCGGAAAAGTCATTTTCGTTTTGCACATTTCGTGAGTAGTGGAGCGAGGCCTTTTCTTCGGAGACGAGTTTTTTTTTTTTTTTTTTTTTTTGCGAAAAACACATTCCATTTCAATTCCAAAATGAATCGAGGCCGGGGACCTCACAATTCCACCCGGAGTTATCCCGGCAGCATCAGCCGGTTTCGCTTTTAACGGGAACAAATGGACCCGACACTTTTATCTGAAAGAATGTTACCAAACATATCAAAATACTGGTAAAGCTAATAGCTGGGGATTAAGAGCTTAATAGACGGGGACTGGATTACTGAATTGATGGTGGGATAGAGAAAGGTGGGAGGGGGGAGTGGGATGAGATGAGGAGGGGGATAGAGGCCGGAGACGAGGTTCGACCGCCATGGATGGACTGTTGGACCAGGGGTATACTCACAGGAGTTTTTTGACTTAGCTCTGGACCTGATTACGGTCAGATGCATCCATGTCTGGCCGTAATTGCAATCAGATTCATTTAGGAAAGTGCTTCATGGTGCACAGCATAGGTCGTGAGTGCAAACTCATGAAAATGACGAAGAGATTGCCAAGATCGGGGGAAGACGCACGGGGGAGGGGGGAGAGAGAGAGAGAGAGAGAGAGAGAGAGAGAGAGAGAGAGAGAGAGAGAGAGA